CTATCTATCTATCTATCTATCTATCTATCTATCTATCTATCTATCTAATCCCATTCAGAGGCTTTATTATGAAGCATAGGGGGAGTGTGCGCGTTTGGCACCAACACAAACGACCAATCGATCACGGCAGCCTGGGCCGGGCGGGCCCTGGCGGGGGCCCTCCCGCTGTGTCCGTGCCTCTCATGCATCACACTTTATGAATTCAATTTCAACCGGGAGAAATTTTCAATTTGAACGCGCGATCATTACGGCGTGGGGGGAGAGCGCAAATTGTTTTTGCTCTATTATGCATTCGGACGCCATCATTTTTCTTTCTAATTACCGAGGTGTCAGAGCGGCCTGTCACCCGGGCGCTGATTTTCAATTTAACTGATCATCATACATTCATTTTCCCATTTGATAAATCTGCTATCTAGACGCGGCCGCCATGCCCAGAATATTAAGCGGTGCCGGGGCGCGGTAATAGGGGGATGTGTATGCTGCAATGAGCGCGGATCAGGCAGCTAATTTAGCACCTTCCACATTCCCCGTCTCCATCCCCCATTTCCAATTCTCAAGAGGAGACGAGACAAAAAAAGAAAAAGAAAGAAAGAAAGAAAAAAAAGCACAGAAGAGAGTCCAATGGCTTTCTAACCTCCACCAACGAAGGAAAAAAAAAATCCCTGAGGTTACAGAAAATCAGGGCACCTCCTATCCACCACGTTTCGTTTTACAGTTTAGAGGCAGGATTAATTAATGCAAATTAAGTTTTTCAATAGATATTATTTTCATTTAATAGAAACAAATTTGCACAGTTAATTACAGTCGTGTAGTTTCAAGAACGGACTATTACTCATCTCCCTCCACCTCCAAACATCTCTGACTCTCCATCCACCTTCCAGGCTCCAGAGTCAATTAGCGGCTTGTGTTGTTAGGTTTAGGCGTCTTGGATTAGGACTGGATGGGCCCACAGCCAACATCACACACCAGTGATCCTCTGTTTGTTCTCTTAAATGCAAAAACTGTGAGGTGCAGAGCAGACTGTGGCGGAACAGATGTTAGAAAGAGTTCAAACAAAGCGTTCAGTATTTGCTTTTAAGGGCTAAGGTGTTATCGGTTTATATGCCTGTGGTCCATATTATCCACAATCAAAAGACTCAGTTTAATCTTACTCACTTTGTTCGGACAAATCTGTCTTTTAAAAAAATCTTTTCAGTCATCATACAGAGCTGACTTTGAAAGTTCTCAACACAAACAAGGATTATGGGCAATAATCTAATGTGTGACGTGCTGAGGAGGGAATTTCAGATGCGGCTGAGAGCTCTTCAAAAACAAATTAAAAGTAGAGGTTTGTTGGACAAAGTTCAATGTTTTAGGCCAGGGTTGACTTTTGAAAAATAAACCAACAGAGAAACTGCCAATGAGAGAGTAAAAAACATAAATACTTTTTCTTCAGAACATGTCAAAGAAAAATGTGAATATTGTTATTGTACAGGAAACCGTTAATCTCTATTTTAGTATTATAAATTACAAATTCTTTGTTAGCTTCTCAGCTGAAGTTCAGGGCTTAACTTCACCGGTAACTTTGAGGAGATTTACTTTATAAATTTAAAAAAATCTATTTTTATACAAATTTGTACAAATATATAGATGCACATGTGTGTCTATGTACCGTCAAAACGAAAACAGTGTTCTAATAATGCTCTGATCATTGAGTTACCATGTCAACATTCAGACATTTTTAATGAGGTTAAGGAAGAAAAGTGTTACATTTGTAAACTCCAAATGCTGGAGCCAGATTATAAAGTAGCAAAGCCAAAGTCAACAAACTTAAGGATTCATCTCATCTTAGTTTTTTTTTTTTTTTTGCCAGCCCCTTTTTTGGTGTTTTTGGTTTGTTGACTGAGTCACACATCTCCCAATAAGGCCACCTTGTTGAAGTGCCAATAAGTCCAGTCAGGACTTGTGTGTGTGTGTGTGTTGCAGTGTAATGAGCGTTTATATGCACAAAGCAGCTTTGGTTGTGTCGTGTTCTTTGTTTCATTAGCCCAGTGGTTGTAATAAATGCCAACGAGCCAACGGGATAGATTTTAATTAAGTCGGTGAGAGATGAGTGGAGTGACACAGAAAGCGGGGCAGGGCGGAGAGATGGAAGTGGAGGGGGACAGCTTTTCAATAAATCGGTTCGCTCAGGGGTTACTCGGTGATTTCCTCTGCAAAGTGTTGGGGCCGAGCAGGACTCGCAGTAATTTGGTTGATAAATCAGCTGCGTTAGGGGCATGGAGCTCGCTGCTCGACCGGTTGGTTCTGCGTGTGATTTATGTGTTACCCGGGGGTCGTACACAAGCTCCTGACAGTCCAGGATGAATTAAGCAGGAGCCAGCTCGCTCCTAATGAGCGGGTATTATTTCGCACACACCCCTGCTTTAAAGAAGGAAAAAAAAAAAAGTGTGAAGAACGAGGCTGGCATGAGACCCCCCCCCCCCCCCCCCCACTTCCTCCATCCACTGTGCCATCCCTGAGGTGTCGCATTGATTCAGCATCAGAGTTAACACACAACCACAAACACACACACACGCACGCACGCATAGTGTGCGTCATTTATCTACAGTCGGCTATCTATGAGACAAATTGTTCAATAAAGGATCTGGCACCAAGTGATTGGGGTTAACTGAAGCACAAAAGTGACAGACATCCTGACCAAAAGATTAAAACAACTTAACTATTTCATACGATATTGATCATCGATACAAGATTTGTCTTGGCTACCAGACAACGTGGGAAAAAAGTGGAAGACGACAGAGCGGGTTTTGGTCAAAAGCAGCAAAAAATGACCCTGGTCAACACTTTTTGAAATAGTTTCATTATTTGCCTTCAACTCCGTGTCAAAGGTCAAACAAGCATGCAAAATGGAAGAAAAACAAACAGAGAATTTCTTAAATCTTTTAAATCTTATTGCACATATTAGAACCAAT